GTGAAGATGCGAACTGGACTGAACTGGCTCAGCTTTAGCGATGACTATGATGAGCCTTGCGATATTTCTGATCATCAGAAAAATTGTTTTATTGTCGATAGAAGATGCTATACCATGGGGGGGGGGGGGGGTAGCCAGTTATTTTGATATTAATTATTTATCAGCCAAACAAACAGACAGATACCTGCTTTGGTTGGTTGAGTTGTTATTCAGTTAGGTAGTCATATGTATTCAGGCAGTTAGTTTAGTAAAGTTGTTTCTAAAGTAGTTATAGTTAATCAGACGACTTTTAGTTACTTAGGCATTAATTGATCAGTTTAATTGGTAACACTGAGTTAGGCCAACCCAACTGAATTTATTTTGTTGGTTAGTTAATTAAATTGGTGGACTTCCTGCACGGCCTGATGTAAAGTGTTATTTACAGCTGCAAGCCATGTCAGTGGTTACGCACTCTCGTCTGTGCGTGGCTTAGGGTCGTAAGGTTATTTTGTGGCGTTTGTGAGGTCGATATACTTACTGTACTTTGAGCTCTCACATGTTATAAAGAGGAATGTCTAGAACAATGCATCTCTTTTCGTTTCTCTTCTCATGTCCCCACCGCGCCTTGCGGTGCAGTGAATGTCGCTCCTGTAATGGAGGTTAACGGTTCGAATTCCGATAGGAGACCAACTATCCTGACTGGGGTTTCTTCTGGTTTTTATGGATTCTGAGCCGTAGAATGATCATGTAGTGTATGACTGTGGAATACGATCTGCTGAATCATTTGCCGTTAATTTCAAACCCATAGGACGTGCCATTCAGAAGTGATGAGTCTTGAAATGAGGTACCGTAGTGTGTAAAGTTATCTGAAATTTCTGTTGTTTTTTTCAATAAATTGCAGATTTTGAAGAACTGGCATATGTGTGTGTCAAATTTTGAACCTACACGAAACTACTACTGAAAACTACGAGGAAGTTCTGTCATATTTTTGAGAGAAGAATAGTTTTCAAAGGTCATAAGAGGGGGGGTGTTTATTTATTCTTATATTTATAATAACTTCTTGTTGTTTAACGACGCTGTCAGTAGCTCAGATTATTATAGCGTCAAACGATAAAATGACAAATAATGAATTTGAAATTATGAGAAATTAAGCGGTCATGGCTCCGGCTCTTTCCCAGAGGGACTGAGAACAACAACCGTCAGGGTAGCCGGTCTCCGCGGCGATGTTCGAACCCAGGACCCCCGAGTGTGAAGTAGGCGTGCCTTGGCCTTAAACTACGTTTGTCTTTACAATTAAAACTGCATCACTGTTGCACCCAACGAAGACCAGACAAGTTCGTTCCTGTGGGAAGAGACTGCGAATTGAAATATTGATGGGAATGTCTTGCAGGAGAAACTCTGACGCAAAGGTTCTGTGGTGACTGCGGTAAGATGTGAGGAAAATCATCCTGAGAAATGATGCACTGGAGAGTGGCTTCTCCACCACTACACACGAAAATACTCGTGCTCACTGTGTTTTGTGCAGGAATATCTTACTAGAAACCGCATGGCGGTCGATCTCCATACGCCCTACACCACAGATTTGATCCGGCGTCCCTTTTATTTATTTTATGCAGAATTCAAATTAATAACGAAGGTGAAGAGATCTGACGATGCCATAGCGATCAGGGAAAAATCGTGAGTCTAAAAAATTTGGCTTCCATACAATAGCGAATCGTTGGGCTTCGTATCAAGGAGCAGAATGGAACAGCCGTTAAGTGCAGTAGGCCCTAAGCACGCCGTCTACGTGTTTTCAGAGCACTTCTTTTTTAAAAAAAACTGATCCTGCAGCAGACAACAAATACATTTTAGTGAGTTCTTCGTATAAAGTAATGTTATAATCGGCCGACGTGTACCAGAATCAAATTCGCCCAATAACCTACAGCGTGGGCCCCAAATTGCACCAACATCAGTGAAGTTAATTCAGAAACTAAACATGTAGATGAATAAAACCGACATCCCTATTACAAATTAATTATATGTGCTTTATACAAACAACGCACAAAACTAATTTATTCTTCTGTTTAATTCGATAAAGTTCTTTGTCACGAAACAATGGGCATTCAGAACGTACTGCCACCGTCTTTCGTCCATTTCCGTAGTGTTCCGTTGTCGCAGGATGTCATCACAGGTATTCACTTTTCCCTATGAAATTGCTAAGGACAGGGCATAATAATATCTTGCCCTTGACCTTGCCCTACCGCCATCGTGACGACGGCTGCGGCAGGAGGATGACTTACAACAGGAAAGTCCTGTTCTCGGACCACATTACTCGCTATGGCTGTGTACTCAGCTACTCGACCTGCTGGCACGCAGTACATTGCCACGTTACCTACGGCTATGATCTTAATCTGTCGGTATATCACAACTTCTCTGATCCCCACTTCGCAATAAGGAACATTTCGGCCACTCTGGATTCTGATTTTCACTTCTTTCCTGTAATGTTAGCCGTGATAGCTCAGTCGGTAGTGAAACTGGCTGTCGGAATTCTGTTCCCGACGAAGACAACAGTTATTACTTTGCTGCCACGTCTAGCGTGTTGTCCAGTAGATAGTGGAGTAGCATTTGTTGTGGGAAATCGTCTGCAGCGTGAACCGGATTATTAATCTCCATTGTTCTGAGGTTAGCGTAGAGATTTGCCTTCGTTATTCTTCAATGGCGTGATTCCTATGCAGATGGGCAGGTTTAAGGCCTTGCAGTCGAAGCAGGAGAAAATGTACGGTTCAAATTTACTTTTTTAAAGTTTTTTGTTGTTGTCAGTTCACTAAACATTAGATACATTTAAATTTAGTCTGTATTGATCTAATTTTTCACCTACTTTACACGAGGCTGGCTATTATTAAATTGTATCAGTTTTCTCAAAAGAATTTTGTAATTTTAAACTTTTGCATGATTTTTTTATGTAATATAGAATACATTTAACAAAACGCAAGGAGAACTAATTAATGTGGTAGTGATAATCGGCTATGTAATCCAATCTTTGTACATTAACTTAAAATTGGAGCTAGTGTGATGGACCTGTTGTCATCTGGAAGTATAAAACGCATCTGGGTGTTTCTTTCCGCCCATCTTTAATCCTTGTAGTTCAAAGGTTGCTAATTCACAGTAAGCCTTAGTCAGTAGCGATACTAACACTGTTACTGTGGGGAAGCTCTATAAATGCTTACATTTCTACTCAATTTTGTTACCCGAAAGCTTATCACAGGCCTTATCATTCGATGTGTATCGTTGAATT